AAATCTTAAATCATACTCGTGTCTGATTACTTAGAAGTCTAAACGCTGTAGTTGTTGTCATTGTCTGTCCTTCAATATATATATATACTCCATCTTAGTATACTCACCATCAATGGAATAGGATTTCTGAGAGCCGCTGAAGGGCACTGTGAATAATATAATCACTAACACGACTGCCGTAACTGTCATTCTAAGGTTGACAAGCTTGGAACAGACACGCCGACAGAGTCCAGAAAAACTAAAATAGTGTACTGTGTTCACGTTCACATCACATTCATGCAGAAAGAGTGGCAGCCCGGGTATAAATCTGAGAGAGAATCACACCACTAGTAACCAAATATCCATTGGCAAAACAAGATGATCAAGACATGCCAAATGTAATGTACATGACTACTGACAGAGTAATTAAAATTCCCAACACAGACGGCTGTGTTGGTTTGCCAGTATCACAATGCCGACTATTTACCTGAGGTATTGTACACACTCACCATTCAGATGAGGACATTAACATATCATTAGCATACTCATTAGCATAATATATGCCAGTGGCTAATCTGCATAACAATGTAGACAACCTCAGGGTAAAAGTGTTAACTGCTTGGAACAGCTTATCTGCAAGGCTGCCAGTGGTATACAATGTAGTTAAAGGACACATCAGCTGTCATCGTTGAGTTATTATTAGTTCCCTGATCTGACTTTCACTACAAATTAATTATCTTAGTGAATTGAAGAGATCATATGTGCAGCTAAGAATAAATAACACTTCACAGCTCATTGAATATATTAATTATTTTAAAATAAATAATGAGAGGAGAGGCATTTTCTTTGGCTATCACTTCTATTAGGTTTTTTTTTTATTTTTTTTTTAATGCAAGATTCTATATCCTTAAAATGAATATTAAATATGTGCATTATCAAAAGTGATTTCAGCGTTAAGTTTAATTGGATTGGAAATACACCCCAAGAAAGAAACACTAAGTCAGTAGTATGTAATATGGACAGAAATTACTTTTTTTCTGCCACAACAATACTAGTTATAACCACTGATGGGAATTAAAAAATAGATATTTGATCACATCTTCAGTAATTTATTTTTAATTTATATATTTTTTTTTATTTCTCAGGTCAACTGGAAACTAAATTATAGTCCTAACTCCTACTAAAGTTGCCCATATGCATTAAGGTACAAGAACATTCTCAAAATGTATTATCATCCCTGTTTAATATACAATGCTACTTGTATGTTCCATTTAAATTTTGAATATTTCTTCTGCCACTAAATATATTTTGAATTGTTTACTTTTTGTTGCTATAGAAATGTTACCGGTAATGAGTTAACAATTTTATCTTATTTTGGCACTCACAAGAAGTGGTCACTGGTACAGAATTTCTGGATTGTCATTGTCACACAGAATTCGCAAAAACAAACTCTTGCAAAATTACAATATTTGTCATTTTGGACGGTTACATTGTACCTTGAAATAGTACACATCGTTTAATAATGTTGCATTTCACACAGAGATACTGCGTCATATATCAAATAAAACCACACGATATAAACAGGTTCATGATATTCTAATTGATACTTGGCTACCCATGCAGTCGCAACTCATAACTGTTTGTATGTTGATGAGAGTAATATCATACTATCAATAATTTATGCAGGAGTAATTTCTACAATATCTTAAAAAAAATTGAATTTGGTTCAAAAAATTAAAATTACCAGTGCACAAAAATTGGTGTACTGCAATAAACTATAATAGCAGTTGGTTAAATTCGAATTTACAACATACTGTAGAATACTTTATTTTCGCTTGGAATTAATTTTCGCTATTTTCGCTGAAGGTATGATTCAGTGAAAATAAAATCCAGCAAATATACCTTTTTTTCCTATATTTTACATTCAACTTGTCAAAAATCAGTGAAAATAAATTCTATACAAAACACTAAATTTACTTTTTGCTGATAGAATTTTTTTTCGTGGTTTGATGATTTTATAGCATTCAGAAAAAAAAATGTTTGAGAAATTCTCACTGCTACAGATTTCATGGTTTTCACAGACTAACGAAAATGTGCGAAATTAAAGTGAATATTTATGAACAAATGACAGGTGTTCAGGTTTTTATCTAGAAAAAATGAAGAAGAGGGAGCACACACAGGCAATCGACCTGGAAACACCATATCGGAAGGTTTCTGCATCGTTTTAATGGTGTATCTATTGCCATTGAAATATTTTTGGAGTAATTTTAGTGTAAAATGTATTTGGTGTTCAGACACATTGTCAGCTGCTGCTGCTGGGAAGTTTTCAAGGAGAAAAATATATTTGAGAAAGATTTCATGTTGTACGGCAGCACAGAAGTGCGCGGTTCAAGACAAATATTTATGACTTGAAAGCTCAATCGGCAATTCGGTAAGAGGGCGTCAGCCGAGAGTATCAGGGCGCTGCACCCCTGTTAACCGGTTTAGAAAAATCCCTGGGTGTTTCTACAGTACAACTAATTATTTTAATGATCCGATATCCAATTTCTGGCTTATGTGATCTCTGTTCGAGTTAATAACATATAGCGCATGTAATATAAGATATAGGATTTCAAGTAGGAAGAAAAAAAAATAATGTACTGTAAAATGCCTAATTTTCACTGGGTTAAAATTTCGCTGATTTACCATTTCAGGCATATTCAGTGGGTTTTAAATTCACGGTTTTATCATTTAGATAATGTGTTCTATGCTAAATTTTACATATTCACTGGGTTTTAATTTAGCGCATTTTCCAGTCAGTGAAATAAGCAAAATTAAAACCCAGTGAATAATCTACCTCTTTACAGTACGTTGTAGCCAATAAACTGTTTTGTTTACATAATTTGACAGCTAAATACAATAGTTGATATTTTATAAAAAGTAAGTAGTTATTTTGAACAGCTTTTTTGTAATCATTGTAAAGTTTATAAAACATGTGTACCAAAACACATTGCTTAATGAAGGCCTCCACAGATAGGCAAAATGAATGAGAAAATTCAGCATCAGTAGGCATGTGTAACCCAGCTCGTTTCTTTGTTAAAAAAAAAAAGAAAAACAAAAAAGAGAAAAAAAACATGGTTAAAATAAATCTAATGAACACACCCTGAATTAGACTTGCTTACTTTTTTTTAAAAATAAAAATAATTGCAATAAGAATAGCAAAAACGTGAAATATTGCAACGATGGAAACAAGCAGCCTGAACAAATCTGAGAGAGGTCCACATGTAGTACCTATATATATAATATCAAAGCAATTGGACTTGTGGTTTTTAACAAGAAGACGAAAATATCACTTTTTACCAAAAATTACAAAAATATTCACCAAAATTAGAGAATTGAAGATATCATCATGAAATGAACAAGTGTAAGAGAGGTCTACCCAAGGTACATATACACCAAGTATCAAAGCATTCATGAAGTCGAAAAAGTAAAACATTGACACGGACGACACCGACGGACAATCACTCATATGATAAGCTCCGCTCGACAAAGTCGACAGTGGAGCTAAAAATGGGATACAATATAGTGATCGAGAAAAAACAAACAACAATGTTTGTGTCCCGGTTGTGAGGTTTTAGTTGCTATTCATATTCATGAGCAGTAAATTTGAATATCACATGTTTGATGAGTGACACACACTGAGCACATGATTGGTCACACTGACACTGTTTTAGAACAAACCATGCAAAGAACCTGTCGCCTATAGTCACAGTGTTCTGTAAAATTCATTAGCAAATCAGAATCAATTTTCTTACAGTCACTTCCAATGCATACATACCAAGTATCGTGCGTATCACATATTCACAAAATCTTTCAAAGCTGACGTATACATCTTAATTAAACATGTTTTCAGATAATGCATTATGTAAATAAATCTCATATTTAAGTAAATAAAATGGGAAATAATTAAATTTGATATGCTTGGCACGATTGTTACTTTATCTTCATCAGCTAAATGATCATGTCCTGGTATTTGTTTACTGCTATCAATATGATAATTAAATTCTAAGATCATTACATCAAGAAATAATGCACCATTTCCATTGCAATAAAAAAGAAAGTTTTCAGCAGTTTTATTGCTGATGGCGCTGTTGAACATAAAGTGTTACATCACTGAAAAGAAGCATCTTTAATGTACATTGCTAATTTCTATGTTGGTCTTTTTTAACCTAACTTTGTTTTCAGTTCACTTTATGACTCGTGAAATGTGTAATTTTGCACTGTTTAGTAAGGTACGTTTAATTAAAACAGCAGTTAAAAATAACGATGTTGTACTTACTATTACCATAACAATGCCTATACACCTGTATGCAAGTAGAAAAAGAAAGGTCCTACAGAGAACTTGGGCAGAGAAATTATTTGGTAGTTTCTTCACATAGTTTATTTCATGGTCAAGTTCAACAATCACTAGTATGAATTTTCAAGCTGCTTGAATAATTGGCATCGAAAAACCTATTAATTGTCTACATTTACGCATTATGTCCACATTCAACAATAAGGTCAACGACATCCACTGAAAAACGCCATTTTGGTTGCAAATGTAGTCTTTATCATTCTCAAATTAAAATCAATTGAATTTATTCTATATAATGTCTTTAGATGTGGCAAATTCGTTACCAGGCTTGAAGCTCTGTCAAGTCATGTTATTGACAAGTGCACGCATAACAAGGGTGTCATTGTCATTGTGGTAATTTTGGCCTCCACCCAGGAGCCCTCACACACCAAAAATTCCACCACATTTCAACGTTTCAATCAATAAACATTTTCTTGCTCTTATAAGTGACATCACAGGATTTAAAGATATTTCCAGAGAAAGTAATTGTTTATCAATAATTGATTGTTTATCAATACATATGTCTATCGTCATAATGAGTCATATTTTAATGATGCAGTATACGATACAAGTAACTGTTTAGAAGAGCTTTTATTAGGGATACGCTTCTAATACAGCAAATAGCATATGTATGTGTGTTGTTTCTTACCTCTACATTCATTAGCCGTTCCGTCTGGATATGGTAAATAAGATCCAGTCTGCCATGGTCTTATATCGTACTGCGCCTTACATTTCTCACACTGTCTGCCCTCCGTGTTGTGTTTGCAAACGCAGGAGACGTGGCCAGTTTCATTGACCTGGCAGTACTGGCCATGCATATTGCATTTACATCTATAAAACAAAATATGGTATATAAAAAATTAACATTTTTCCCGCCAAAATTTATTTTTTGGACATAATTTCCCTTTAGTTACAGGTCTTCATCAAAATTTGTGAAAAACTAGGTGCACTTTTTATTTTGTGGATAGTGACAAAAGTTGACTTGTTGAAATTGAAGTCGTTAAATATATGGTATTATTCTACATCTGCCACAGTAACACTATAAGTTACAGCATGCCGTAATTTTGCAGTATTTTACAGGGTATTTTCATCCTACCATATAAGGAAATGCAAATTCCAAATATGGAATGATTAC